CAAGGAGGAAGAAACGGGAAGCAAAGGAGACGTGGCAACAACAGCAGCAACAACAGAAACAACAGACAGAATGAGACCCCGGAAGAAAGACAGAAGAGGGTCAATGCAACGCCCTGTAAGAAACACAATGGACAACACCTGTGGGGTGAATGTCCATTCAATCAGAATGGAAGCAATTACCAGGGCAATAACCGGAGCAATAATAACAACAACAATTACAGAGGAAATCAGAGAAACCAGGGAAATTCAAATTCAAGCAACAGCAGTAAGAGGTTCACACCAGGATTGTATCTATGCTCAATGGATGAACATGGAACATGAGTACTTTCCAACCACAGTCAATCCAAACTCAGAATTATCACGGCTCTAACTCTAGTGGTGGTCCTCGGAGTCACGTGTCATTACAGTCCAACAGCAATGCTGGAGGCTCTATGGTCCGATTCCAAGGACAAGGACAAGGACCAATCAACAGTGGTGACATTCGAACGAGGCGTTCTTTACATTGCCACCACCACCATTCACTCAATCGCCAGCAGACAGCCTTGAGTTTTATGGTCTTGATAATGATGAAGCTCTCAGGAATCCAACAGCAACGACCTTACGAGCTCTGAAAACTCCACCGGATGTACAGGATGTACTGCCAACAGTCATTCTAGTATGCAAAACCATTCAAGGCCTCCCAACAATGCAAACATTCAAGGTCCTCCTCGATAGTGGGAGCACAATGTGCCTTATTCACGAGCATTGCCTTCCACCAGGGACAGTCCCCTTCCAGGACCAATTCAGCTCAGTTACGACTACGGCTCAGGGAAGCGTTGATACATCTAAATATGTCTTCATTTCCAACATTCGGCTCCCCGAGTTTGGCAACGGCAAATATACCAGAGGAATCAACGCAAGGCTCTTTTCAGCCCCTTGCAACTATGACATGATTCTAGGAAGGGACTTTCTACTGATGACAGGGATCGACCTCTTCTATTCCACGCGCACCATCAGATGGTTGGGCTCCACCATTGATATGAAACCAATCGATCACTTTAATGATCCCCAGAAAATAGCAGAGGCTATGTGGCTGGCAGAGGATGATGAACTCTTAGATGGAGGTTTCTTTGAGTTTCACYTACTCCCAAGCTGCCAACCACAAAATTGCAGACGTGCAATCGGTTCGGACAGTTATTTAGCAGCAGACGCTGCCAGGGCTCCTACTGAAAGTACAACGCCCAATCAAATACTCGATGCCAAGTACCAACGAGTAACTCCCGAGGAGGTTGCAAACCACCAGGAGCACATGAACAGTTCAGAAAGACTAGCATTCCAAGAGATGTTAGCCAAGCACACAGAGTTGTTTGACAGCAAACTTGGTCGGTATCCTCACGAGAAGATCCACATTGATCTGCAGGATAATGCCGAACCAGTTTACATAAATCCGTATCCAGTTCCCTACAGATACAGGGATGTCTTCAAAAGGGAATGCCAGCATCTTGTTGATGAAGGGGTTATTGCTCCCACTGGCAATTTAGAGTGGGGCTTTCCAGCCTTTATCATTCCTAAAAAGGACGGCAGAGTCAGATGGCTTGTTGACCTACGAGAGTTAAACAAAGAAAGGATTAAAAGACCTAAGTTTAATCTCCCCAAAATTCAAGACATCCTTAACGGGAGAACACGATACGATCACTTCACTAAGATTGATCTATCCATGATGTTCTATTGCTTTGAGCTAGATGAGGAGAGCCAGAAAATATGCACACTCACTACCACACACGGCAATTACAGGTGCCTCAGATTGCCTATGGGATTGAAATCCTCTCCCAACTATGCCCAAGCCTTTATCACTAAGATCCTACACAGATTGGATGTTGAAGTCTATATTGACGACATGGGTATTTGGTCTCGTGGACCCTTTACTCAACACCTCTCTTTGGTTGACCCAGTCCTGAGACAATTGGCATCCAATGGGATGAAGTGCAATCCACTGAAATGTGAATGGGCCGTGAAGGAGTCAGATTTCCTTGGATATTGGCTCACCCCTACTGGCGTCAAGCCTTGGCAAAAGAAAGTCGATGGGATTCTAAAAATGGGAATTCCACAAAATCAATCACAGGTTCGGTCTTTTCTGGGTGCAGTGAATTATTACAAATCCATGTGGCCGAGGCGATCACACGTATTGGCCCCACTAACAGCCCTCACGGGCTCAGGACCTTACATCTGGACTCCAGCATGTAATCAGGCCATTCAAGAGATGAAGGCTCTCCTTTCACATGATGCTATCAACACCTTTGCGGACCTGGAAGAACCCTTTCATATTTACACTGACGCGTCTGATTATCAACTGGGAGCAGCAATACTCCAGAAGAACAGACCAATTGCATATTGGTCTAAGAAGCTCAACAAAACCCAAATGAACTACACCACAATGGAAAAGGAGCTCTTAGCTATCATCCTGTGCCTCAAGGAGTATCGCAATATGCTCTACGGTGGCAAAATCTTCATCTACACTGACCATAAGAACCTTATATTCAGGACGCTGTCCCAGTCCCAAGTTCTCAGGTGGAAGCTAAGCCTCGAGGGCTTTGACAATAACTGGGAATATATTCCAGCCAAGAAGAATGTGCTTGCGGATTGTTTCTCCCGAGTGCCCAGAATGGATCAGTGTACTGTGGGGGACAAAGAGAAGAAAATATATGAGAAAAAGAAAGGAACAGTGGTGAATTTCAAAGAATTGACAGCTCAGGTGGATCCGGAAGATGTTTTCTACTTGGAACCAGAACTATACGAGTGTTTACTCAATTTACCACCAGTATCAGAGATGGAAAATCCTATAACAAATGCAAGCCTTTACACTTATCAACTCACGGATCCACAGTATCAGCAACTACACAAATCAGATCCACAACGTTATGTCAAGAGAAGGATAGGCACCTTTGAGTTACTCACAGTAACCATGAATGATAATAATTGGAAGATCTACTTGCCCGATGGCTTGGTAGACAGCACCCTCAGATGGTACCACCTCTTATTGGGCCACTGTGGAAGCACAAGGCTTTATGAAACCATCAGCGCCAGATTTTATGCTCCCCGACTCAGCCAAAGATGCAAGCAATACCAGTGTCCGGATGAGTGCCACAGATTCAAACAGCAAGGACAGGGACATGGGCTATTACCAGCTCGTGAGGCAAAGCTTGTCCCATGGGATGAAGTATGTGTGGATTTGATTGGCCCCTGGAAAATCCTTCTSCCGGATGAAACTGAATTAGTGATCAATGCCCTCACTTGCATTGATCCGTTCACTAACCTATTGGAAATTATCAGAATCAACAATAAATCAAGTGAGCATGTGGCAGAGCAGTTTTCTAACTGTTGGTTGTCAAGATACCCACGACCCAACAGATGTGTCCATGATAATGGTTCAGAATTCATCGGGATCCCATTCAAACAGTTACTGAATCAATATGGAATTAAGAGCGTCCAAACTACTGTCAAGAATCCACAGGCAAATGCAGTTTGTGAAAGAGTGCACCAGACAATTGCCAATGTTCTACGAGCTACTCTTCATTCAAAATCAATTGAAGATGCGGAGCTTGATGAAGATCAGATTATCGACAATGCCCTTGCATCTGCAATGCATGCTACCAGGTGTGCAGTGAATGCAGCAGTGAAGACATCACCAGGAGCTCTGGTCTTCAACCGTGATATGGTGATGGACATCCCTCTCATTGCAGATTTGAAAGTTATCAGAGATAAAAGACAACACCAGATCGATGAGAACCTTAGGAGAGAAAATGCTTGGAGGATACCCTTCAAGTATCAGGTTGGACAACAAGCGTACATGAAACACTATGAACCAGACAAGCTATCCCAAAGATTACATGGTCCTTATCCCATTGTGGAGATCAATACTAATGGAACTGTGGTGTTGCAGCGAAGTGACAACGTACGTGAGACTGTCAATATCAGGAAGCTTGTTCCTTGCAAAGGAACTAATGCAAATGCCACTCCTGAAAACCCAACAGCAGAGGAGGAACCMACTGTTGAAAATATTGAAGATATGATTGCTACAGTCTAGTAGTTAGTAATATTGCAAATATTGAAGCAACATTCCTGTCCGGGATAATGCAACGGATACGTACGTACCGTGTCGAACGTATACGGTACGGAGCTTCGAAGAAAGGAATGAAGAAACATACCATTCCTACGTACCTATAGTAAGGTACCCTTTCTATGTATGTATCATAAGAGGACCGAGCACCGTAAGAGGTCTGAGGATCGTAAGAGGTCCACGATATCAGAAATAGATTACCTCGCACAGAACAAAGATGTCAGTAGATCAGAATAATAAGAACCCTGTGTAGATTTAGTACCGAGAGCTACACAGGATCTAATCAGAGCTACTGAAAGCTCAA